AAGAGTTTTCAAAGATCCGTGCTAGAGGCTGGGCTATGATGCTCGCCAGCTCCTTGAGTACCCTGGGGTGTAGATTGTTAGGGCTGGCTGACTTGAAGGTATGCAGCCTCTCAAGGTGTTCCTTCACGAGGTCAGCATTGATGGAGGGCAAGAGATCTCCCTTACCCCAACCTCCCTGTCCCGTAGCGGGCATGGGTGTCCCATGGGACTGATGAAAGACCGACGCAAAGTACCCATTTAATAGGTTGGCTTTTTTCTGGGCGTCAGTTGTCCCATCTGGTTTAGCAGGGGTCCAATGTTGCCCTCGCTTTTCCTCCGGCTCCCCACATACCTTAAAAAGGACTTTTTATTGTCCTTGATGCTCGAAGCTAGTTGGAGTTCAGTTGCAGCCTTGGCTTTCCTGATCTGCTTTTTATTGTAATCCAGTTTTCCCTATCTTTAACCTTCTCCTTTGTCCAAGGACTCCTGTACTAGCTAGGCTGTAGGGACCAATTAGTTTTCAAACCCATTCCAGAAAGTTCAGTAAACATGGTTGGACTTAGTGTCCAGTGTGCTTTGTGTAATGGTGCTGAAAAATTTAGACTTTAGCAGCCTAAGTGTTTTCAAGACTAGTTGGGAAGAATCTCAGGAAGATGCTGTTTTTTGGTGCCACAATGTTTTCTTAGCACTCTGAGCCTAAGATAACAATCTTAGGTCCCTGCATATTAAGAGTCTGGTGTTATATTTCAAAGAGTTTTACTTGCTAAGTTTACCTCCAACTGTTTTAAATTTTAATAGTGTCGTAAAGCCAGAAGTGACCATTATTAATGTCTAAGTCAGTCCATAGTGTAACACAGGCCAGAGAACTTCACCCAGTAATTCCTGCTTCAAGCGCAATAACTTGCATAACGTATATAACTTGCATATTGGCTTAATTCAGTTTATACTCTTGTAGGTCATCTTCAGGGTAATTATGTAAACTTGTCAAACTGAATTTGTAACAGTGCTGTAAAGAAACAGAGTAATGCTTGAAAGATATTTTTTTTTTCCCCAGGAGTCAGATGAAGAAGAATGCTTCCATGACCAGGAAGAAGCTGACGAAGAGGAGGAAAGGTTCACAGATGCAGACAAAGAAATAGAAGCTGAAAGAGAGAGCATAACAGAACATTCTGTCAAAGATCCAAATTCAGCAACCTCGTGGGTGCATCATCAGAATGTGGGAGGTAGATCAACTTGAAAATCTAAATCGTGTTCAGTTACACTGTTGCCTTTAGCATATTAATCAAGACTCACTGGAAAAAAAGAAAGAATTAATTAAAATACTCCTTTTAAAATGTTTCCAAATGAGTGTGATTCAAAGGAGTCAATCTTCAAATGAAGGCTTTAGTATCTGAGAATGTATTTAGAATTTCAGTAACATTCCTGTGTACTTATACATTTCAGTATGTGGCTTGGTGAAACTTTTAAAGCTTTTATTCTTATTAGGTGGAAAGAATTTACATTGTTATGATCCATTGCACCGAAATCCTTTATACTGTGGTGCTGATCGTACAAGTCTTTGGGAGCTGAAAAAGGTAAAGTGTTCTTATGAGCGTGTCTCTTTATATATGCAAGGACCAGCTTGTCAAGAAAAACAGATTTCACTTTCTGATTTACTTCTGCTTGAGGTTGCCCTTTAACTGTTGTGAAGTTTTATTTGGATGGGGGTAACATTAGGGTAAAGGACATCAATCATTCAGTTTTAATGATGTTACACGTGGTGCCAATAATTGGGAGGGAGAATTAGAATAATAGTAACACCTCCTTTTCATCCCCTGACATTATAGCTTTGCAGGATGTCTTTTTCCCCACAAAATAAATTGAGACTATGCTCCAGTTGTAACGTTTTATTCTCTGTGATAAATTCTTTAGCTGTTCTTAGGCAGTACAAATCACATTTTTATTAATTCTAAGTGGCTATGATTTATGTAGCAAGTAATTGAATGAGCATCTACATCAAAGGGCCCCTGTAATCAGTGACCCATATGGGTATGAGTGGCCCACAGCGAGCAAGTTGCATGCTGTGGGCCACTCATACATTGCTCTTCCTGTTACTCTGCTGTTCCAGCAATAGTGGAAAACAATATTGGAGTGTGGCTTTTGAGTCATTGGTGGGGATCCACTTCCCTAGATTCTTAGAATAGGGCCATTCCTAGGTTCTGGTAAAACATTATTTTGTAGTAGTAGTCAAATGACAGGCTTTTCTTCTCTGATTACGTGTGTTTTTTAGTAGATGTATACAAATACCTGTTCTTTCTTTTTGATTTTTAGCTTTCTGAACACTTTCATCCATCTGTGGCCCTCTTCGCAAAAACAATTCTAGAAGTAAGTGACTTTTTCTATTCTACAGCGTGGAATATAGATTGTGTGTTGGTGGGTTACAAAGAAAGGTGAAAAGTTGTTGTTAAACTTCCAGGAATAACTCAGGACTTTATGGTTTAGCATGGCTGTCTGCTTTCTGGGATGTAATGGCACTTGAACACTGCAGGTATAGCCAGAAACTCTGCAACCCTGCAAGTTCCATTGAAGAAAACATTAAAATATCAACAAATTAAATATTTAATCTAACATCTAATTTATTAGTAACATCTAATTAAACTTGCTTGAAAAAGAGTTGGGGCACTCCAAAAGAAAGTCATGCATATTGAAAATATGGAATCAGTTAACAGCACTTTCACTGCTGCCCTATCTTGGAACTTAGGTTTTGAGGTACATTTTTTTAAAATTATCATTATTTCTTCTGATAGTTTTTTTGGGTTGGCTGTGCTAGCTTACTTGTGCTGTGTGAGAATTGTGTTTACTTTGATACATGCATCTTACCTAAACGGATTTTTTTAGTTAATAAAGACCTTTGGTGTACTAGGTAAACTGGTGAATCCTGTTGCAGTTGTCCAGGGCTGATGAGGACATTGTAATTTTAAGAAGAAAATAAAACAGAGAATATAGGAACTAAGCAATTATGTATTAATTTGATAGGTTCACGTGACTAGATACCCTCTAGCTAGCTCTTTTCTTTCTTTAAAAAAAAAAAAAAAAAAAGTTTAGGATTGTATTGTTCTTGTTTAGCACCCAAGTTTTGGATGCTGTATAAGTACAATCTGAGTTTTTCTCTTGCAAGGGTGAAATTAAGACCTTAATTTTTTTTTGGCTTTTGTTTTTTTCCAGGGCAATTACATTCAGTACTCAGGTGACCCGCTACAGGATTTCACAGTAATGAGGTTCTTGGATCGCTTTGTGTACCGAAATCCCAAGCTTCATAAAGGCAAAGGTGTGAACCTTTCTCTACATTGTAACACTTGATTTTCATTGTTTGATGCATGTAACAGTAATGAAAAAGCAAAATTTAGTAATTTGGAGCTATTATGTTTGACTAATTTATTTTACTACAGAGAGCATCAGCAGTGTGGTAATGCAGCCAAAGAAGAAACAGTCAGTGAATGACGTGAGAAATCTTGCTGGTAAGGTTGTGTTCAAGCAAAAGATTGGGATGGCTCAGGAGTGACATTGTTCCTGGTTATTTTGTGTCTGGATCCCACATCATGAAAATTATTTCTACTTCACCAAATGTGTGCCTGTAACCTGTACCATGCCCGCCATTGCTATGGCTGGAAAAATACGGTAACAGAGGGAGATTTTGTGTGAGCTCCATTTCTTCAGGTGAATATGTATGGCATGTGTACAGCTCAGAATTTGCAGCCAGTAACCCATCTTAACAGAAGGGAGTGTGGACTTGGTGAACAGAGAGATTTAATGGTCACAGCTACTTTTGTCATCCTTTTCTTTATCCATTAATGATCAGAAATATTCTTTGGCTTCTGTTTCTCTGTGTGGCTTTATTCAGGAAGTTCCCCTTGGTATTGTTTCCTGTTTTTTGATTTCCTTCTTTAATTCAATCACCATTAATTCCTTTTTAGTAAAGGAGTTCCTTTTTCTGACGTGGTGCTTCAGGTGTTTGTTGTTTAGCTAGCACACTACTGCATCCTGAGAAATGTATTGTGGTGAAAGGAAGGGTGGAACTAATCAAACAGCAGACCTCCTTGTCTACAGCACTAAGACCCCCACCAGAGGATGGCTAATATATTTTAATTTTAGTAGCCTTAAAGCTGTACAAAACTCTTGTTTGCTTTACTGATGACACTACAGTTAAGAAGAGTTGGGGAGGGGCTTGAGGGCAAGGTGGTTGGAGAAGGGAAGAGATAGCAGGATCATGTGCTAAATACCAGTGTGTTGGTAACTTCTTTAAAACAATGGAAGTTCCTAGACAGAATTCTAAGCAAGAGTTGTGGTGTTGATAAAATACAAGTATATTAATTATTAAGAGATTGCATTTGTATTAAGATAAACAACTCAATTTTGAAAGTTACCAAACTCGGAGTTAGTATCACATTGGGGTCTTCTATGCTGATCAGTGTATGTCCTGCACCAGAAGCGCTCTTAGTCCTCGTCACCACATCTTACTTATTTTGAGTATCGATAGAATACCTTTGTTTCTACGTGCAGCTCCAAGAATTGTCCTTTGGCTCATCTTGCAGTTCAGAGGGGAACACATCATCATCTTGCTTCTTGTATATAAAACAGTGTGAAGCATCTTTTGTGATCCACCATTATAGAAAATCCAGTCTGATCAGTCCACCTTCCCTAAACTGAATCTCTCACATCCCTGCTTCCCACTGTGACGCATCCCTCAAGAAAGTGCTCTGATAATGCACCCTCAAATACAGTTTATGTAACATGGATAAGGTAGAGGCCCAGTAAGCAATAGCTGTTTAGAATGTTACTGCAAATACCCTTGCATTAGCGACACGCAGCATTAAACATCTTGTTACCCTGGTATAAAGTCAGAATTAAGGCTGTATGCAAGATCTTGACTAAAACTTTTAAAAGTACCTGTTTTTCCCAGCTAGGATGTTGCGGATAAGTGCTTGCATCCTCATTTGTTGTTTAAGATCTATTTTGTGTGTGGAAAAAAAAATCAAATTTTCTGCTGGTTCTCTAGTTTCCTTGCATCTTCTTTTCCCAAGTAATCGTATAACTGTTTACTTTGCCACGGTCATTTAACTCTCCTAGAGTGGATTGTAAAATAGTCTTCATCCCATTCAGCTCTTTCTTTTACAGTATTGATTACTGCATGAAACGCCCAATCTATAACTGTTGTCAAGATTAGCAGGGCATCTTTGGCAGTGTTAGGTTTATAAGATTCTTCCTCCTTCCAGAAATGGGACATCTTTTGTGTGGCACAAAAGTAGTCCAGTGTTTAATGTCAGGATTTGGCAATAGAGAATTGGTAGCAAATGAACAAGGAGGGGAAGGGATCTTGAGAAATAAGCTTCACATCATTTCTCTATTTCACTTACTATGCAACAGTGAAAATTGACACCTGGGAAAATATAGTTAAGGTGCACTCTTCCCCCTAAATAGAAATAATCTTTCAGTCCTTTGCTGAAAGATACTGAGGATAGTTACTATCTCTGCTGATAGATTTCTGTCACTTTTTAGGACTTTTCTTATTTATGCCTCTGACTCTGTTCCCTAGTGTTACTATGACACGTTAGCGTATAAAGCAGTATTATAATGCACAAGGTCTTGTGGTGATATGAACATATGGTAGGAATTTTCAGATGGATGACTTTTTTATGACAGTCATTTGTTCTGGGTTCAAGAAGCAGACTAAGCATTTAAGAATGGAATTGGACAGGTTGTTACACACTCTAAAAATTTGTAGTTTGTGTAGTATAGTCTGAAAATATGGTGGGATAACACCTGTATGATCAGTTCTTGTGCCAGGCTGTCTGAGTTGTAGAGTATTTAGAACAAAGGACTCTTGTTATTTTGATTGTCTGAAACTGATTTTCACCATCCACTTTCTGAAATGCTTGTCTCCTGAAATAGTTTTCCTTTTTTGCTCTGCTTTACCATGCTGAGAGGGAAGGAGAGAGAGAGAATGAAGTGCTTCTCTCCAGTAATACGTGTCTTCATTTCTGGTCTCAGTTGTTTCCCCCGTTGCCATTACAAGGGGAATTTATGCTTCACTTGTTGGATGTTTTAGAGAGGAAAGAGGTTGCAGTTACCTCTGTCCTTTTCTCCGCACTCCAATTAGTGCTGGGCTTTGAGAGAGGGGTGCTTGATCCTGCCTCTGCTGTACATCTGCCAAATAGCTTTTCTTCATAGACTGCTAGTTCCCTTGCTGCTGCTTGAGGGTCATGCTTGTGTGGCGGGTGTGGGAAGTTATAGGGCCCTCTAAATGTTACTTTCTCACAAACATTTTTTTCCCAAAATTATACCCATGCGGTGTTAACCCTACTTAGGTGTTATATATAAATGGAGGTCTGGGGAATAGTTAGGGCCCTGTATTCTCATGGTGAGAATAGTTCCTACAAGGCTTACCCACACCTAGCACTTTAATGGGTAAACATAGTAAATAAAGTTAATATTTTAAGAACTGAGAAGATTACACTATATTTCACTTTTTACTGTGTCTACAAAATGAAGTATATCTACTTATAAATGTAATAAAAAGTTGTTCAATTTTCTATGAAACTTTGCCCCATTAGTAAAGCAAAGCATAAAGTCAATTTTCTTGTTTTTTCTAGTCAACAGTAAGGAATTCCTAGCCCACGATGAAAGCAAAATTCCAGTGGATGAAGTGTTTTTCCACAGGTAACGAAATATTTGTGAATACTCTTAATTCTTTTTTTTTTAATGATATGTAATTCTGGTTGAAACTTTTGTACTTGTGTACTTCTGTGTACTTTTGAATACCTGTGCACAACAGGTTGATTTAATAGATCTCAGGGGGAAAAAACCCAGTTTTTAAAAAGCCTAGCTTATGTTATCAATAGTAACACAAATTGGCTCTTTTTCCTTTTTTTTTTTTTTTTTTAAAGTCTAATGAACTTTTAGATCTTGATGATGTGTGCTTAATTATGTATTATTTTGCGTTTTCCTCTTAAGCAAATTTCCATTTCAGGTTGGTTGTACTCCTAACAGTTCTGCTATAGTTAAATTGCAAATATTGCAGGGGAGGTCTTTTTTAAAAACAAAAGAAAACAGAACTTTTTTATTTGGTTTTTTTTATTTTTTTATTCACAGGTTCTTTTCTGTTGGTCTTGGGTTTTGCAGGTTATTTTTTGCTAAGCCTAAAAATGAGTGTCTGTGAGTGAGTGTCTGTAGGAGGCCATGATATAGTTCTTGGTTCTGAATTTTTGTTGCTCTAGTTCCCTAGGTTGCTTGGTTTATTTATTGATTGATTTATTTTTATTTTTTATTGTAAATTGTGGAATTATTCATTTACCTTTCTTACATAAGTAAAAGCCTTTGCATCAGAATTTTTTTCAAAGAGTGTTTTAAGCAGGGAATGATGGATTCCTTCCCACCCTCTCCCGTTAAGTTCTAACTGGTCTAATCAGTTTCAGCTGATTTTAAAGTCATGGGAAGGTATTTTGAATTGTAGAACGATGAAAGTGGGATGCTCCCATGTACAGGGCATTTACCTTTGTTTCTGACATTTTCATACCATTCTCTTGCTAGTGCAGATGTAGGAGCAGCTTTTGTTGGCACCAGAGGCCTTTCATAAATATTAAAGGGACCAACTTCAATTCATGCTTCTGTTTTAAGAATAGCAACTACAAGTAACCGAACTGTTACTATAGCTGAAATAGGTTGCCTTTCCTTTTTTTATTTTGTGCATTTTTGAGAACGTTAAGTGGACAGTAAAATTCCCATCTACTCTCCTTCCTCCCTGAACAGCATTCTCCTCCTTGTGTATGCATCTTTCATCTTAAAACAGAGGAGGAAAATTATTTAAAAATAGGCAAATGAGATGAGCAGAACTCACGCACACACGCGCACTTTTTCACTTGGGCAGGTGAACTTAAGGCCAAATAGGATATCCCAAACTACCTTTTAACTGCTTCCTGTATTTGTTTCATAATATGTGTTGTGTTATTCAGGTCATTTTGTAGTATACCTTGTTCAAAGTTTCATAATTCACACCAGTAACTAGCCATTTCTACTTGTATTTATGATGTTGCCAGTTTATACTTTAAGTGAAAAATAAATGGAATTATGACCCTCTGAACTGGGTTCCATGTTTGAAACTATTAACTGATACTTAAAAGGATAACTGTCAGAATGTGTATATAATGTATATAATCCATGTGGTAACTTGATTTAAAATCTGTATGTCATAAGCACACATTATCTGTAACATTTCATGTGACAGCAGCAGACAACTTCTTTACTATTCTAGATTTTATAAAAAGTTTGATAAAGAAAAAGAGAGACGAAAACATCAGGTGGATGAAGAAAGTGTGGAAGATGTGGATGATGACGAGTTTGAAAAAATACTGGGTAAGGTTGTGGTGAAGCACTTGCTCCATTAGTGTTGACAGACCGCTGATATTTCACTTTTTAATTTTATGAAGTGTGTGGCTCTCTGTACTAAGTATATGTTTAAGCAAATGCCTATATATCAAAGCCTTTTCTTTTGGAGTTAGTGGATAGCTTGCTCCAGTATTCAAGCTTGCCTGTGCCTGCTGTGATTATTCCCTGTTAAATTTGTAGTTTCATATTTTACTTGTGTAATTTAGGCCCATGTTTCTGAGAATTGTGTTTATATTATATCAGAAGACTTGTGACCCGTTTTGTGTTTTTAGATCCAAGGTACCCTAATATTCACTCCCTTTAAACTCCTTGAACAGAAGAGTCTGACACACTCTTCTTAGTTGCGGTGTGTCTTCTCTGACTTAGATCTGTTTCTGTAGTGTATCAGTGACAAAAGAGGCTTTCCACTTTCCATTATCAGTGCTGTTGGCTTTCTGTTGTGAAGTATGGGTAATCTTAAACCAGAGACTGGGTAGCTTCTGCAATACTGCCTGTGCAGTGGACACAGGGTGTCGCCATTGATCACTAGGCTTGTCTCTCCTTGCCTGTGGTCCCTCTCCCAGGTTTTGAGCCGCAAGCCCATGTCTATCCTGGATCTGGGAAACATTTTTGCATTTTCTAATGAAAAGACATGTTTACAAAAATTCCCAACCGGCTGTAGTTAAATGAATGTAGGCTAATTGAACAGGTTTCTGTATGAGATTCTTTCATAATGAATCAATAAATATACATAGTGTATGCTTAATAAAAGGGCTGGCTTACTAAAAATAGTAATGTTAGAGTGATATTGTAGCCCTGATGGTCCAGGGATTATATGAGGGACAAGGATTTTTTTGGGTGATACCTTTTATTGGACCCAGCTAAAGGTATCATCCCAATAAAAATTCTAGCCTCTTGCATGAAAATAGTAATGTATTTTGCCATGAGCAGTCAGGCTGTACCTTGACACTCAAAAGAAACATTTTGAAATTGAATTGTAATAAGATATTTAAAAAAAAATTCCCCTTGCTTTTTCCAGATTCATTTGAAGGTGATAATTACTTTGATGCTAGTGGCCAGGATAACCTTGATTTTGCTGGGTAAGACTCTTTTTTTTTTCCCCCCTCTTCTTTCATGGATATAATGCTGCTTCTAGTTTTTTATTTTTTAATTTTTATTATTATTCCATGCATCTGAATAGAGGTTTTAGGAGACAGTGCAGCCTACCTTGTTTTGCAAAAGGGACCACTGTGGAACACAGGGTGATGCGCCCCCCCCCGGACAGAGCAGGCTCAGAAAGCATGCTCACCATGGCTCAGAAAAAGTGTGAGCCCTTTTACACTTGATTTATGCCATAAAATGACCCAATAAGTTCAGTTATCATCTTCTCTGTTTTCACTATCTCAAGTTTCACAGCCTGATAATGCTGACTATAAATAAATTGGAACAGTGTACAACAAATGAAATCTGAAAACCAGGACTTTTATCCCATGGTTATAGTTTGGAGTTAAATAACTTAAATATCAGTAAATTGTTGCCTGCATTAATGATTAAATATCCTACTGTTTAAAACATTTGAAATGTAATCTTAACGATTACTACCAAAATTAATGTTTCCCTCTTCCCCCCTCTTTCCTGAGTTTGTATGGCTTTATGTCAAATCCCCACCCCCCTGCCAGAACTGAGTCAGATTATGTTCATACTCAAGCTTATCTTCTTTCTTGCCACTTCTTCCCCCATCAAAATCCAACCTTATAGTGCTCCCAGTATTAGTCAGCTTCCTTCCTTTAATCCATTAAAATGGTACACAGGGTCACTGCTTCCCTCTTCTGCACAAATAAAGTATTATAGATGTTATACTTTCTGAGGCTGTCTCCTGTGGAAAAAGATTCTGAAAGTGAATTGAAATGCATGGATATTTTTTAAAACTCCATTAATACTGGAATGATACTTGAATACATTTTCCGTACGTGTCAGTTCATTTAAGTGGTCTGTGTTTAAACTTCTTTGTAACATTGCTTAACTTGTTAGTAATGTGCTCAGAGCTAAGACTGATGTTATTTGTTAGCATCTGTGGATACTGTGAGTCCAAAGTACAATTATGTATTTTAGCAATGTTAAAAAGCAGCCCAAAGGTGGTAAGAAGCACAAAGGAGGGGAGGAATCCAATGCTGACTGGGAAGATTCTGATGACCAAGATGAATTTAGTGAGCTGGATGATGAAGTCGTCTCCCTGGGGAGTATGGAAGAAGACTTTGGAGAGGATATAGATGAAGAAGGAGGTGCATTTATGGATGTCACAGGTGATGAAGGTAGGTTAACAGCCATCACCAGGATTGAATTAGAGCAAGATAGACAGGTCAGTGCTTTCATGTCATGTGCCTGGATTAGGTAGTTTAAATTCAGAATTAGGTCCTTAAGTAGCCTGGGGGCGCTGAGCAATTCAGCAGCTCTCACTGAAGTCCCCCTTTGTCCGAGGTGATTCCAACAGCAGTGGGAACTGCCAGCATTCATTACTTATGGCAATAACACTTATTTTGTTTAGGAGCCCAAATCAGGGAGTAGATGTCTGGAGTTAGGTACCCAGTTTTGAAAACTTTAGTTCAGATACTTTGTAAACAAGTGCCATCATTCTCTGTAGTTTGGAAACAGCAGCACCAAAAGTTAAATCTTTAAGCAAATGATTACAAAGTGACCATCACAAAACACTTGGGAAGGAGTAGAGAGAAATCTTTCAAGGTGTTTGGAAAAACCCTAATTTTAAGCAAGCATTTAGGTACTTTGCATTTATTAAATTCTTCCCTAATTAGCTTTAGACCATTTACCTTAAGTTGGTAGCTCTTAAGTAATGATTTTTCAATGTTCTTAATTTTTAAAAAGCTGTACATGTAATAAGAATTCATTGCTTTGATTTAACCTTCAAATGGTTTGATCACTCCATGAATTCAGAGATGCAGTTTACATGGTAAACACTGAAAAGTCTGCACAAACAAGAAGATTAAGGTAGTGCTTATAAATAATGCATTGTTGAGAAGATAGGGAAGTGATCAGGAACAAAACCAGCTTGTTTAGGTGGACATTAGTAAATTGATATTTTTATGTGGGTGCTGTTACATAATGTGCCAGCTTGTTTGTTGAGCATGCCACCAGGGTTTACATAACTTAGTATTTTTATCAAACTTATTCCAGTGAATTTCATATCAAGGGTGGCTGAGATCAATGTGTTACTCCTTTTCTGTATTGCTGATACTAGAAAAGAGCAATACAAAATGCTCTTTTTGCCATACAAAATGGCAAGAAAAACTTGGTATTTCTCATGTGTTCTGTAGGTTTATACTAAAATTTGACCATGTGTATAGTTATTGTAATGTTTGCTTCGGGGAATATTAACATATATTTGTGTAAATGGAAATTAAAATGCATGTTGGTATTCAAATAGTGATCTGTGTGCTTTTCTTTGATAATAGATGTAAACAGTGAAGATCAGATCAAGTCTGTCACTACTAAAAAAGGCAAAAGGAAGAAAGATATAGATTTTGCTGGATCATTTGAAGGTAGGAAAATATATTTGCGTTTTGTGTTTGAAAAGGGTTAATACAAACATACATCAGGGGAAACTGGTAGAATCTCAAGGAGTTTATTGAAGTGGGGGATTAGTGCACTCTGGAAAGGTGACTTCAAATTTCACTTTAGTTGAAAGTGAAAATGAGCATTTCACTCTCCTCCCCATCATTAATCTGGTCAGTTTGGCTCAATCCAGTATCACTTTCTCCACCTGGAAGGCCCTGGATTGGAGTAGCAGGGTCCAGTACAAGTTAGTATTCAGTTAGCAGGTATCTGTAGAGAGATGTGTGTTTATATTTGGCCACACTGGAGGTAGCAGAAATTTGTGCAATCAGTTCATAGCATTTCATGCAGACTTCTTCAAAAAGGAAAATTCTTGGATTCCTTAGTAACGGCCCACTGCTAGTATAAAAGCAAAACTTAAGTATGCTATAAAAGTAGTTTGCAGTTTAGGCTTTGATATTTTGAGTAAACAAATGGGGATATTTCCTCTTTTCCACTTCCTTGCCCAGTAACATCAGAATACTCTGCTTATTTTGATCTAAAAAACAATCTGCAAATCTCTGCCCTTTTTTCCTACTTTGTGGGCCATCTATATGTGCATTAATGAACGTTTATGATACATTAAGGTTGGTATCTGTAATAACAGGTAGCAGACTTAATGCACCATAATGGCGCTACTGCATGGTGGCACATGCTTTTTAGGTAATGCTAATGCACACTAGACTAATTCTGTGCAATAAGTATGGCTTTTGCTGAGATGCACTAATGCACAGTATAATTACTCTACTGCACTTTTAGGATCTTGTGTAGTTGCACCCTGTGATATGTAAAGATAGTTTATTTGGTGATTATTGGGTGCATAAAAGTGTTTTTAAAATTCTTATGATGTTAGAAATTATGTTTTGCTGCTCTGGAAGATTGTGATGACTTTAAAGCAAAAAGCAAAATCACAAGAATCAGGAGAGTAAGAATTATGAGCAATCAGAAGGGATTTTTAATTACTTTACTTCTTTGATGCTTATGCTCCTTATCCTAAATTGTCATTGATGTTTATTAAAATACAAAGGCTGTAGAAACAGATGAAATTTAGGGAAGACTGGAGTTTGCATTCCCTCTATTTTGAAGGTTTTAAGAAAAATAAAATAGCATGCAAAGGGTAAAAGTAAAACCCTTCAAACTAGCCAGTTTGAGTTAGAAAATATCAAATCCTGATATAAACAGACTACATGCCAGAAGGCATTTTAAGCTTTTCAAATTCTTTGAATTGCTCCTGTGTATTCTTGAGGCAGTCCTTTCTGTGGGAAAGCTTTTTTGGTACAAAATCCTTTATCTGCTCAGTCACCCATCTCTGAGAGAATGCTCCTCCAGACTCTCTTATGTTAAACTGCATAGGTTTTGAACCCCACTGTGCATTTCTTCACAAACATGTACCCCTCTTCACAAGCAGACTCTTCCTCATGATCAGTTCTTTCTAATAATACTCCATGCAAACGTTACATCCTTTCTGAACTGATTTATAGAACCCACTGTCCCCTCCAGGCCTGTTTCTGCTGCAGCGCTGATTAGAAATTGACCACTTAATTAGTGACAGCTAGGTTGAAGGACAGCTCTAGGCAGCTGCTGATGCATTTGTAATAACATGCAGGTGTTTATATAAAATGTGTGTGCATATTGGATGATGTCCCTGTTCCTTAACTTATATTCTGTTCCATGATTATGCACTTTACAGAATAGCACCATGCTATTACTGTTAGTACCAAACAGTTAAGAAAATCTATTTGCATGTGTACCAAGTACAATATACATAGTCAGTTAAACTGTTGATAAGAAATTTGATCAAACCTACCACCCTGGGTTCCAATTACAGATAACTTTAAAAAGGTTTCAGGGTTTTTTTTTTGTTTTATAGGTGGTGACTAGTATAACTCAGAACTTTACCTGATAACTTTTTTCCTTATTTGAAGGAGCAAAACAAGGAAAGAAAAGAAAACTCAAAGATGCTGGCATGCTTGCTGCTGCAGAAGAGGTAAGTGTGATTAACACTTAAGAAAAAATGTTGATCTTATATTTTGCCTTGATATTT